TGGTAGTTTGGTTTGCCGGGGGGGGGCGGGCGGGCAGATCAAAGTCCTGCAGCAAGGGATGGATTGGGGCTGGGGCTGGGGCAAGTTGCCCAGCCGGGGCAGAGGCAATGCAGGGAGGGGATGGGGCAGCTCCCGCTGCTGTGAGCATGGGTGTGGGAGGGTGTGTGTGGGGGGATGCCCTGGATCTGCGTGGGGCAGCTGGGGCTGGGGCTATGCTAGGCTGTACTCCAAGCAGAAGGCACTGGGAGTGGGGACTCTGCCCTCCCACCGCTTGCCCAGCTGGGGCGGAGGGATCTGGGATGCAGGCGCTGCGCTGCCTCAGACAAGTGGCATGCAGCAGTGGCCACTCCAGCCTCTGAGGCAGTCCACTCACCTGCCATGCCTTTGTTGTTTCTAGGCAGGAGTTGCCCATTTTTAATGCCTTGATACCAAGGGCATTATACATAGCTCCAACTTCCACTCTAAGCTTGAGCCAGTTGAGACCCCTGGGTCAATCCACAAGCAGCTGACCCTTTCACTCGATAGCCACTCCACCCTGCCCCCAGACTCCTCTATAAATCATTTGTCTCACACCTAGCTTGCTTAGAGCCCCAGAAATCTAGTATAAAGGAACTCTTTATTTCACTGAGCCCCTCCACAGACCTCTCCCCAGAATCAGCTCCACTCCCAGGGTTTTTCCAGGCCTTTCCTTAGTCACCCATACTTTCAGCAGTTCTATTCAGGGGGGCTTATCTAGTCTGTCTGTAGGCCCACAAAGTCTAAACCCCTTCTGTCTGGGCTGGCCTGTGTCTTCTCTGGGCCCATGTCTACCCAGCCTCTCTCGATAGGCCATCCTGGCCTTTCTTTGTGGCCTCTGTATACATGGCCCCTTACTATAGGCTGGCCTTTCCCCAGCCCCAGGTCTTTAGCCCCCTCCTAAGGGCTCTGTACCTCTTCTGGCTCCCTAGGAACCTCCTCTTTCCCCATAGTTCCTACCCTAGCTCGCAGATGTTCTGGGAGCAGCAGTACTCAGGCCAGGTGATGGTTCATCCTTTGGCTTCCCAGTTGCAACTGGCAGCCCTGCTCTTGTCTTGACCATGACTACCCAGCCCTATGCCAATCAGGCAGTCTCCTGGGTGCCATGTGACCACCTGATTTGGGTCTGCTCCCACCTGCAGCCCTTAAAGTAGCAGGCACCCAAAGGTGCACTGCCACACAAAGTTATGTTTATGATTACATTAAATGTATATTGGCAGTGTCCTTGCACTTAAGAAAATTGTTTTCTTTTAGCACTAACACCATAGATCATAAATGTTGACTCACATGTACTTCTCAGTATTTGTATTTCAGTTTGCAAAATGAAGCTGGACCAGTCAGCTTAACTGGTCTAAGTCAGTTTGACTTTTAGGTTTTTCTGAGCTCATAAAATGTTTGAATTTGCAACCCTAGGGAAGTGGTCAGCAACCTACGGTCACTGAAACCTTTGAATCCAGCCCAAAGATGGGGGCTTTTGCAGTTGGGGGGGGTGGGGGATGCCTATTGCCAGCACTCTTCCAGTGCTACTTAGGGGACAGGTAGTGGCGAAAGCAAGGTCCTGCCACCCATCTATCTCCAACCTAAAATGAGTCATTGTGGCCTACAGCCACAATGGAAATGGAAAAGATTGCCTCCCCCTGTCCTAGGGGATTGTTTAAATCTAAGCCATCAGTCTTCATTAATAGAAACCGTTGATATCCATAATTAATTTTTTTAAGCTATTTCAAAAGATAAGTAAAAAAGCACACATGCTGAGGTCATGGTAGCATCCTTTTTTAAATGAAATGGAATGCCCTTGACTGAACATCTTACAAAAGAATAGACGTGAAAGTATATTGCTGCACATGGCACCTTGGCATTTCACAGGCTCTCAGCATTCATTTTTCAACTTTACTTTTCCCTTTTGTATTTTGGGTGAGTAGACCTCTTAATTACTGGTCATTGTTCCATCATTATTGCTGCATTAGTTTGACCAAGTTCCATGTGCATATTTGCACATTTGTATAATGACATTTTGGGTATTATGGCAGAATATTTACTTTTGAGATTAAAGTAGTTAGTTCTGTCAGTTTCTTTCATGGGTTGGTTTAAACTGATACCAACTCAATATGGTGTGATGTGAACCTTCTTTGTTTGGTGAGAGAAGTCACATGATAGTTAAAAGATGAGTTTCATCTCCTGAAAGTGATTTGATGCAGACTCCATGTAGACTCCAGCTCCTTGTTAGATTAACTTTCCTGTCTCTGAACAGATGGGGCACTGAATATGCTGAATAAATGCTTGGTGGGGAAGAATGTTTAATTACTCTTTGTTACTTGAAAAGGCAAGTAATTAAAGCCCTTTTAGTGGTAACCTTGCTTGGAGCCAATTAAATTGACAGACACCTCCAGAGTGCAGGGGGTACACTGTTTATGGCTGATATTGTTCAAATCACTTGTGTATTGATTGTGTGTTAATATCAGTATTGACCAATTTTGCTGAACTACACTCTTTGCACTTCTGAAACACTGCTCCCAGGCAAATTCAAATTCCTGTAAATCAAGATGTTTTCTAGCTTGCTTTGTTTGCCTTCCAGTCTTGTATTGCATTATCAAACTCTGCTAACAAAGTGTTTTTTTTCATTCAGACAGCTTTTGAGGGTGCTTGTTCACAAGTTCTTATGCAAAGTTTTTGGTGCATGCATTGGTGTAATAACCCAGCTTCTGTGAATGTGTCCTCACTATTTTATCTGAAATCCTCTCTTGCAGTTCTTGCC